AATTTTTTTTTTTTTTTTTTTAACGAGGTGTCACAGCTTGCGCCAGACTATATCCTCGTCCTTGAACCTCCGGCCCCTCAGCTGCTCAGGGAGGTAAATCAGGATGTGTCCTTGTTGGTTCCCAGGTTCCCACATGACTTTTACTCCTTCCCCAAAGGAAGCCTCCTCCATGGTGATTAATCCACCAATAATTCCTCCTTTATTGGATCAAAGGTTCCCACCAGGAATCGAACTCTCCACGCTTGGTTTCAGAGTCCCACAATGTGATTGTTCCGCTAACTTGGATGTGCCCTAGGGGGCTTTTCTTGGACACAATTAATTGCACTCAAGGTTGTGAAAGAGTTGCTTCTGCAAATAGAAAGACAAATAATCATGTCTCTATTGCTAGATATATGAAAACAGTATACTGACTGAAAGTTTTTAATGAGGCATTTCGGTTGTGAATTCTACTTTAACAGTAAAACATAAATTAAAATCCTCATTTTCAGATTTCATGCTACATCATTGATCCGCAATAACCTCTATCCGCCAATCAAATTTTAACACCAATTCACTAAATTCCTATATAAACCATCTGCTAACCACTTCATCTCCATAAAAGCTTGGTATTTTTTCACAAATTCCAGTTTTCAATATGAATTCATTTCTTTGGTTTATAGTAAAATTCAACGGGCAAAGCCTCCACTAAGGGAGGTAGAGGGAGGCCAAATGCATTGAAATCCTATGCCAATCCAGTAAGGTTAGTGTCGAATTCCCCCTGGGCAGAATCACTCGATTTCTCCAAAATGGCCTACTCATTCTCTTATACTTCCTTATCCAAACTTATGTTTACTATCAATACCAATCTTAATCACACAATCTACCCCATGCTCAGACCATTTTTGACTACATTGATGGCATAGAGAATAAACCTCCGAAAGAAGTTGATTCCCCCCATCCCAGAATCTAAACCCTCACACGAAACTGTGGCCAGGGTTCTTTAATCCTTCCCACCATGGATCAGCTACTCATGGATATTTGGACTTCCAAAGAGGAGCAGGTAGTTAGAACATCAGTGTCAATACTCTCAACTATTGTTACAGAAAATAAATCCGTTGTAGAGGACGTCAAGAGAAAGGGATTACAGTTGTCTGATTTGGCTACTGCCCTTAAGAGAAATGTGCATGAGGCTGTTATTCTTATATATTTAATAAATCCATCTCCAGCCGACATCAAGACATTAGAACTTTTACCTTGTTTGGTCGAGGTTGTCTGCACCTCACAAAGTTACAAGGTCGGTGTAAGATCGCTTCTGCTTACATCTCCAGCAGCGTCATTGATGCTCATCAAGGTACTAGTAACTGAATTTGACTATGAAACAAGTAATGTGCATGTAGCAGCAATCAGCTCGCCCAGAGTACTTTCCGGGCTCCTTCATGTTCCAAGACAAAATAACCTCGAAGAATTCGTTTCTTTGGCTTCTATTCTTGTCAAGTGTATGCGGTTTGATGGACAATGCAGAAAATACATATTAGAATCTTCTCCGGTGGCTACTTTTGTATCTCTCCTATGGAGCAACCAAAAGCGTGCAACAAATATAGCACTAGAATTTTTCCTTGAATTGCTTCGAATGCCAAGGTATGCCATAATGCTTGAAGCCCTCTTAGTTTCAGCTTCATAAAGAATAAGGCACTCTTAACTAGTCATTATGTCGAACTACATGCACTGCCAAGGAAATCCCTTGTAGCTTTATATAATCTTAATTACGACATGATATATGTTTATTTTTAAGTTTTTGCTAGTAAGCTAAACACAGAGTCTGAGCTGCAGAGTCACCGAATGAATGATTCCAGTTACTCGGTGGGCTAATGAGATATCTTCTTGCATCAGCTCGTCAGCCATAAATTTACTGAAGCAAATACAAAATGAAGGAAGCATCGACAGTATGTGTGCTCTATTGCTACTCATCCAGAATTCCGATCCTGACTACATGCTTCTAGGGGCAAATTTGTTATTGCAGTTGGAAATGCTGGTAAGTTTATTTATTACTAAAACGTGCATAATCTCACATGCTATCAGCGACTTCTAGAGATTTTATTTCCTTTCCATCAATTACCTATCTTATGACATTTTCTGTAGTAAATAAAAATGAGGATCTGAGCCCTACAACTTTGATGAACAACAAGTAAGATTTCACCTGTTTCACACAATATCTCATAGTTTGTTTACACATGATTTTTCAGAATATGTTCCTATGGATAAAATGGTCAAAAGGGTTGGAAATAGATACAAGTAGCAGCATCTAATCAGATAAACCCCTTTTTTACGTCCCTATGTCACCCGTGTGGAAACATGGGAGTGAAGGCATCCAGTGAATCAGCTGAATTTAGTTCACGTGCTCACCATATTTTTACAATAAAATTAGATGCACTGGCATAAGACTACCACCATATATTCTTGGAAATGCTCAGACTGTTATTTTAAAAGATACTTAATATGCAAAACATGAACGAGTGACAGTTTAGTCCACATAGTACAGCATCTTCTTCACTTTTCATAACTGAACTCATAGAATTTATACACTTAATTAAGAATCTGATAGTGCAATTTTCTTTTAGTCCTATATTAGGTTGAATTGTTACTTAATTGGCTAGATGAACAATTTTTTTTTCCAGGAAGATGCATGAGCAAAATGCATACATAGGGAACAGGCTGTGGACGCGCTTCTTGAGCCACTGACATGTGAAGAGAACACTGTCACACAGTCATTGTCGGCATTCATCCCATCAAATTTGGGCGGAACTTTTTCTTGGACAGGGGAGTCATTTACTGACACGACCCGTCCCGACTCAACCTAATTGACTCGACACGTGTTGTACGCCAGTAGTAGATGCCAGCTAAATGCCGGACCTACCACCAAGGCAAACTTGACCTATTTTGACTGTGCTAATTTCTATGAAAATTTTGATAAAATTTCCCTTGTAACATAGACAAAACCAACCTGAAAAATTATCAAAATCTCAAATAGACATTTAAACCAAAAGTTTTGAAAACCACCACTTCCTCTAATACCACCACAACTACTACAGAATATAACAAAATTCGACTGAATATTTCTACAACATTATCATGTCAACATGCAAGTATTACATCACTTACAAACCCTTCTACGAATATGCTTGTCACCCAAAATTAGACAATTACTTAATAAACATAAGTCTCCCAACTATTCATTACATACTTAGGAAACGGTCTCTTTTGCTTCAGCAGGCTTTTCCAAATATCTCAAAATCAACCTTCTCCTGATAGGAAAATATGTTAAAAAGATATGAGTTTACAACTCAGTGAGTGGATAATTGAAAATAAATAAACTTTTCCATTTATGCTATTTTCTGAAAATTCTTGCACTATTTAACGTTAAGAACTTCTGAAAAATAGTAACACTTTTAAAAAAAAAAACCAAACATAATCATATCATAATTTCTTGGACATAATTCTAGAAAGGCAACTGTATAACATAATGACTATAAATACTCTGATATCCATGAAAAATTATGAAATATTACTGCCTTAATATTATAAGCTGAAAGTTTTATTCTGAAAACTGAATTAACTGAATTCCATAATCTGAAATCTGATAATAGAATAAATACTGAAAAATCAGACCAAAAAGAGTACCCAATGAATAGCCTTACTCATGTACAGAGTAATCTCGATGTACAAGGCAAAGTTATTCAAATCTGATAATCTGATATCCTGGTCATACGTACGCAGAGCTGCCCCAAAGGCTAATCACCCTAGTACACGGCCCAAAGCCTATGTGTGTACGAGAGTGGGCCCCAAAAACCTCTGATAATCTGGTCATACACTATGAAAACACATTCACAATAGTGCAGAGCGGGTAAAATCACTGTAACTAGTCATACACTGTGGAAACACATTCACATCAGTGCAGACTGAGATAAAATCACTGGGTACTTTCTGATGGTTTTAAAATAACTTTAACTATAATGAAATATTTATATTCATATAACATGCTAGTCAAATAATTTAATTGAACTGAATTTAACTTTAAAAGCAATTGTTAATAAAATCCAATTTATTCTAAAAATCATGCTATGAAGTCAACTTTATACAATAAATAACTTTAAAATTTAATGAAGACTTATTTCTGAAAAATAAGTTTTATCCACTCACAAGGTATGAGCTACAAGTTAGATAGACTGATAGACGTTTCCAATCGCCTCGTTACCTCCTGAAATACGATAATGATAACCAATTTATCCACTATCAAATCGAGAAACCTTAATATCTAATAATAGAAAATAATTTAAATGCTCATGGTACTTAAATAAATTCTCAAATTTTCCTTTATTAATTGAAGCTAATCACACCTTATAATCCCTTGGTTAATCACTAATTTATCAACATAACCATCATTTCAAATTTAAAACTAATTTTACTCTCCAATCTAATGAAACTAGTAACCACAATTCCACCCACATAATATACATTTGTTCCATAAAATCAATTCCCAAGTGAAATATTTCATTTATATAATCACTTCATAATTAATTAATTAAAATCCCCAAAATCGGATTCTAGGGTTTTCCCAAAAATTTCACATCTTCATACCTTGCTGAAAATTTGAAATGAATAATCCCCACACTTGAGCTCCAATTCGTGCAATATCCCTAAAATTCGACATATTATTCAACAAGTTAAAACCCTAAAAATTTTAACATAATTCATACTTTATCACCTAAAACAAAAAGAAAATTTCAACCCAACTTGAAGATATCAACCTTACCTCCTTTCCTCTTCTTTTTCCCTTCTTCTTTTCCTTTTTCTTTTCCCTTTTCCCTTCTTCTTTTCCTCTTTTTCTCTTCTTTCTCGGTCTCTGCTTCCCGTAAGTTACTCTGTGTGTGTGTGTGTGTGTGTGTGTGTGAAATAGGGCGAAATGAGAGAAAATGGGTCAAAGGTTTGAATTAATTGGTCCACTAACCCATAATTGCACAATAAATCCCTTAGCTTCACTTTTTAGTAACATTTAATCCTTTAACTTCCAATAGTATATATATAAATTCCAAACTTTTAAATATATTCAATTCAACCCTTATATTTTGCCAATTGCAAAATAACCCAAATAAAATATTTTATTTTATTTTAGTCCTTGATTGACTTTGACCTTGACTAGTCAATATTTGAATTTTTGACTATAAAAATTGGATTGTAACATATACAACAGCTTGGTTGGTGAAAAAATCCAGTTTGACCTCACTGGATCACAAGAAAATGATAAGGAACTGTGACTTCCTGGATCAAAGCCTACAGGCAAGTTTTTGTTCAAGTTCTCATTGAATCACCTGGTATTGAAACAAGCAAATCTTATATATTTAACTTTCATCATGCGCACTTATGGAAATTATGCACGTGTCAAAAAAATGAATTCAACCTCTA